CCCCCCCCCCCCCCCCCCCCCCCCCCCCCCCCCCCCCCCTCGCCATTGCCCGCAGAGTCGCGTTCCCTCGATACCGACCTCAAGACGCTGGTTTACGAGAACTACAGCCGCTTCGTCAGCGCCACCGACACCATTCAGACTGTGCGCTCCCTGCGCCCTGCCGCCGCGCCTGGCCATCGCCCCTTGGCCTTCCCGGCCGTTGCGTGTCCCTCTCTGACCTTTCTACCGGGATCCCTTCCCCTTCGTCTTTGTTCCTTCCCATCCCCCCCGACACACAGCTTCGCGATAATGTCACCCAGATGGATGACGACCTGGTCCGGCTCCGGTCCAGCGTGGAGAATGTCACCGCCCAGGGCGCCCGGGTGACAGCCACCCTGAGCGACGCCCGGCAGAAGATCGGCCGGCTGACGGCCGTCTCCGATGCCCTGACCAGCCTGCAGGTGATCTTCGACCTGCCGGAGCGCCTGCGCCGCAGCCTCGAGCGCGACGCCTTCTCCTCGGTCTTCCGCCAGTACTGCCAGGCGTGCACCATCCTGGCCCAGGTCCGGCGGGTCCACCGGCCCGATGCCCCGGCCTCCGACCCCTCCAAGCAGGCGCGCCAGCGCATCGTCGCCTCCTTCCAGCGTGTGCAGAGCGAGTGCGACGCCATCATGCAGTCGCTCATCCTGCGCCTGCGCCATCGCATGCGCCAGGGCCAGGTACGTTGCCGGGCCCTCGGCCGCCTGGCCCCTGTCTCCCGCCGCCCCGTGCCGGCTGGCTCCTTCCGCGCGCGCGGCCCCGCTGACGCCCTCCCCCCGCCCCGTCCATGGCTCGGTCGCCCTTTGTGGTGCTTCCCGCCCCCGCCCCCGCCCCCGCCCCCGCCCCCTCCGGCCCGATGCAGCTGACCCAGCAGCAGAAGGCCGAGTATGTGCAGCTGATGATGGCCCTTTGCGCGGCGCCGGTGGCCGATGACCAGCATCCCCCGGGCCCGGGGGCCAAGGCCGGCGCCGCCGGCGCCGCCGGCGCCAGCCCCGCGCGCGTGACCGAGCAGCTGTGGAAGTGGCTGCTCCAGAGCGAGGAGGCCGCCTTCCTGAAGATCTTTGCCGACATCACCGGCCGCGCGGTGGATGCTCGGCCGGACGCCGGGGCCGCCGCCTCGCGCAAGGGCGCCGACGCTCGCCGCGGCAAGTCCCGCTCCCAGTCCTCCATCGACACGCCGGCGGCCGCCAGCCCGGAGGGTGCGTCCCCGATGGCCTCCTGCCCTGCGCTGTCCCCCCCCCCCCGATGGGTGTGTGGGTTTGTGGCACATGGGA